AGCCTACTCAATGGCACATAATAACAACAATGGTTTAAGATGTAGAAATAAGTAATAGTCTCTATTAGTGATGTCACAAGGAACTTGGCTGAAGTCAGATAATTCCAAAAGGGTGCTTATTTTTCTGTTATTAATGCAACAAAAGCATTTGAGTGAATCATATTATGTCTATCAGTAAGATGAATGGGAATTTCAGAACACTTGATTGTGCTCATGTGAAACTTATGTGGAGACAAAAAGCTGTTTTCTGAACAAAGCAAGGAATCACTGTACGGTTTAAAATCAAGAAAGGTGTGCATTAGGGCTGCGTCCTTTCTCCGTATCTATTCAATCTGATGCCAGACAAATTATTTAAAAAACTTACATATATGAAGAAAAATGTGGATTCAGGATTGAGGAAGACCCTGTTTTATCCACAGTCTTGCTTTCTGAACAACCCTGTTTTATCCACAGTCTTGCTTTCTGAACAACCCTGTTTTATCCACAGTCTTGCTTTCTGAAAGTGAAAAGGATTTGAAACTCTTGCAGTAGGTGAAAAACTACAAACTTCAGTATAGATTAAATCTCAACATCAAGAAAACTAAAGTTTTCAACTCTGAGCCCACCTGAACGACAGACTCAAGTATACTGGAGAAGATAAGGATAGCACAGGCTAGGGCAAGGTTCAGATCAGTTGTTCATAGGATCATTGTGATTTGCAGTCAGCATCTAACAACTCAACAGCTCCTAACAACAAAAACAACAACCTCCAAATCCTATGTACTGCCAGGAAAAAAATTAAAAAAGGAAAAGAGAGAGAGAGAACTCGCGCGCAAGTATGTTCGAAATAATGTACATTCAACCAGAGTTTTTAGAGAGGAGCACAGAGAGATCTCATTTTATGCATTGGAGAAATTTCTCTGTGTTGTGAAAAATTGTAAGCAAGTTAGAAAATATTCTAACCCCCAATTAGCTTTGATTTAATCCAAGGGAAAGGAGTTCAGATGGTATAATGTATACCTTATTGGGATAGTAACCAAAATGTTAACTATTCAAATCCACTAACTGCCCTAAGGAAGAAAAATGAGGTATTCTCCTCTATATAGATTGACAACCTCAGAAACTCAAAGAAGATTTGATATTATGAAGGACTGATGTGAGTCAGAATCCACTAAATAGTGGAAGATTATTTGGTTTTCAAAAGGCTAGAAGCCTTTTGGGATATTTTCCATTGCTTTGTATGTATATGGAAGTTGAACAGTAAATAAGGAGTACAGAGAATAATTGATACTTTTAAATTGTGATATTGTTGAAGAATATTTAATATCATATAATGGCTAGAGACCAAACATATCTGTCTCATCAAAAGTAAAGCCAAAGTGCTACTTTAGAAGAAAAGATTGAGGGTGTTCTGGTGGCCTAGTGGCAAGAAGCTGCACTGTAAATCTCAAAGGCACGCAGTTTGAATCCACTAGATACTCCGTGGGAGAAGGCAGGGCAATCTCCTCCTGTGCCAGTCAGATCCAATTCAAAGATACACAACAAACAACAACAACAATAAAAGAAATAAATAAAATTTAAGAAAATAAGCAAAGATTGTAAAACTGCACCTTACAAACATTGGGCATGTTATCCAGAGAGGGCCATTTACTGAAGAAGGACATGATGCTTAGAAAAAGAGATTGTCAGTGAAGAAGAGCATTCATCCCTCAAAGGATAGCATGCTCAAAAGAGTTGAGTGTCGGTGAAGGAGAAAATCCATCCTTCAAGGAGATGGATTACCATAGTAACTGCAACAAAGTGCTCAAGCACTGCAGAGATTCTTAAGCTGGGTAGAATTTCATTATGTTGTACTTAGGGTCATGAGAGTCAGAGCTAACTAACTCAATAGCACCTAACAACAACAATATCATGCAGCAAGGGAAGACAATACGAGGGAGAATGAATTAAAGTTGAATCTGGGTGGTTTCAATTATTTAATAGAATAAATTTATGTAATTTAAATGCCATGTAAGAGTAATGGTAAAAAGGAAAATGCCTGTACAGTGGATGTATTATTTAGAGGGATAAATTTCTGGAAATGTCATCATAGTTGGTAATGCAGAGAGTAAATGAAAAATAAGGAGCCTCCAACAACCTAGATTGACACAGTGATTGCACCAGTGAATTCAAACAAAGCTTTGTGAGGATGGCACAAGAACAGTGCATCCTTGCCCATATGATTGCTTGGAGTGAGAACAAAACTGAGAAGCCCTTAACAAACTTCAAATAGTGTACACATACTGTTCCATCCAGAACAAAGGTAATCTGTAGGGAATTGCACTCTTTGTGTTATTCTTTATCCAAGAGAAGAAAAGAAAAAATACTTTTATAAACCAATTCCTCCCTCAAGTATGTTACTATTCCCTCTAGTCAGAACCAATTCAAGACTGACCCTAACCCTCCAGTGGGTTTTCAAAGGCTGTAAATCATATGGAAGGAGATTATCCATCTTTCTCCTGTGGAGCTGTTGATGGATTCAAACCACGTGCCTTTGGATGTTGTTGTTGTTGTTGTGTGCTGTCGAGTCTGAACTGGCCCATAGCTGAACCTCCAGTGAGTTTTCAGATGCTATTAATTGCAAAAGAGGTCATCCATCTTTCTTCCTCAGAGCAGCTGGAGTGTTTGAACCTCTGCTTTCTGATTGTAGTGCAGCTTTTTACTACTAAACCACCAGGGTCACAAAATAAGTCAGGTTAGAATAAAAAAAAATCTAAAAACTGTTTCAAACCTAAATCTTGGGGTAAAATAGTCTATCATGCAAAGATATGAAAGCAAATATAAATTAAGCTTTTTAAATATGCCATCAATTTCAATTTATCATGATGCTATATATATCAGATTAGAATTGTCTTCCTCAGGGATTTCAATAGTAGTCAAATTTAGGAGTCAATCACCAAAATGTTGGTGTCTCCACGCAAATTTAAAGGAGAATTAAAGAAGAATAGATGGGTTTTTAAAATGCACAATTAATATGCAAAAATATTTGTTTTACATCATTATACAATGCAGATTATATAGGAAAAAAGTAAAAGTAAAATACATCATTAATGTACTATAATTAATACTTACCTAAATATAAAATATTTATTCATCAATTGAAATATCTGTAAAAATAAGTTATAAAAAATTTACAGAAATTTTCTCATACTTTTGTTTATTTCAATTGAATGACTAAGCTTTTGCTTGTTTGTGCTTAGTATAGGAAAGTTAGTACTACCCAAGAAACAAAAAATTGTATTTAATATGATGAAAATTGTTATATGGAATAATTTCTTTTTACACAGCCCTTTGTGGTATTTTGAGATTCTCGACTTTGCTTTTCAAAGAGAAGAACTAACTGGGGGTGTGGTGGGGGGAGTAGAAAGTGCAACAATGAATGAATGAAAATCCAAAGTCTCTGTAAATGTTCATTAAAATAAAAAAAAAAATTAAAAAAAGAAAACAAATAGCTTCTAATGTATACTAGAGTTGAGGTATTTTTGATATGCTGGGTTTTGTTGTTATTTGCCATCAATTCACTTGCGACTCATAGCAATCTTACATACAATAGCCCTAAACCCTGCTCTGTCCCTTGCCAATCTTATTGTCCCCAGTCATTGGATCAATCCATCTCATTGAGGGTCTTCCTCTCCTGCTCAGTCCCTCCACCCTCCCAAGCATGACATAAACCCTGCTCTGTCCCTTGCCAATCTTATTGTCCCCAGTCACTGAATCAATCCATCTCATTGAGGGTTTTCTTCTCCTGCTCAGTCCCTCCACCCTCCCAAGCATGACATCCTCTCCAAGGACTGGTGCCTCCTTGCAACATGCCCAAAACAGGTCAGACAAAGCTTCAAAATCCTTGCCTCCAAGGAGCATCCTGGCTTCACCATCTACAGGATGAACTTGTTTGTTGTCCTAGCAGTCCATGGTATATTTAATACTTTTCTTCAACACTACAGCTCAAAGGCATCAATTCTCCTTCTATCTTCTCTAGTCATTGTCCAGCTCTCTGATGCATGGCAAATAATGGCAAAGACATTGGCTTGTATCATGCAAATCTTAGTCTCCATACTGACATCGTTGTTTCTCAGTATCTTGGAGAGATCTTTGACAGCAACTTTCTCAGTGCAATTAATCTTTTAATTTCCTGGCTGCTGGTACTAAGAATAATAATTGTGGAGCCAAGCAAATGGAAGTTGTCAACAATCTCAATATCTTCATCACTCAATTATGATGTTGCCAATCAGCCCAGTGGTGAGAATCTTGTTTTCTTAATGTTGAGCTTCAATCCATATTGACGGCTGCAGCACTTTCTGCAGCAAGTGCTTCAGGTCCTCCTCAGTTTCAGCAAGCAGGGCTGTATCATCTGCCTAATGCAGATTGTTGATGAGTCTACCTCTGATCCTGATGCCACACTTCTCCTTACAGAGCCCAACGGTCTGGATAGTCTGTTCTGCATGTAGATTGAAAAGTTATGGAGATAGGACACATCCTTGACACACACCCTTCCCAATTTTGGATCATACAGTGTTTCCTTGCTCGGTTCTGACAATTGCCTCCTAGTCCAAGTATAAGTTTCACATAAGCACAATCAGGCATTCTGGGATTCTTAGTCTTCTATGTTACTGAATTTCTTCATAGCTGGTAAAATGGAATAAAATACTTTGTTCAAGTGTAATTAATATTATAAAACACATATGAGTGACTATATTATAGTAACTTATAAAAGTAATGATTAAAGTGAGAAAATTCTTGCTAAATAGGAAAAAATTTCCATAATAAAAAATTAAATATAAGCATATTTCATTTTGATAGTTTTTCTCTTTTGTTATTGAGGAATAAAGGTTACTAACTTTTGACCTTTAGCAGTGCTAAGATAGAAATAAGCAGTTTGCAATTAAATTATATCTTTTTAATTTTATATTTCAGTTTATTTGCTTTAAAATATATGTGTATGACCACTTATTTGTGCTTCTCTTCCCCCATTCACTGTTCAGGGAGATTCAGGAGGACCATTAATGTGCCAGGAAAACAACAGGTGGTTCCTGGCTGGAGTGACATCATTTGGACGCGAGTGTGCAAGGCCTAATCGCCCAGGGGTGTATGCCCGGGTCTCAAAGTTCACAGGATGGATACAAAGCTTTTTGCATTAGTTTTCTAAACCTACTAAGAAAGTGAAACAATTTTCCCATTCTAATCTAGGGAGCATGAAAATTGAAATTTTGGGGTTTTGTCTTGTTTTTAAAAAATAACTAAAATTTTTCATTATAAACCACAATAATGCCAGGGGAGGGAAGATTTTTAAAACTATATTTGTAACATGGAGTAAATTAAAGCTGTATTTTTACTTTTTATAAAAGCTATTCATTCACAAATATTTTTCTGTTAATCATAATTTTTTATTTTTCTCTTGTTGAATTTAATATTTTTATAAACTCTTACAGTTTTACCACTAGAAAATACACTACAGACTTTCCTATTTCAACTGAAATGTCAGATTGCCAAATCAGATTTTTTTCTAACATCAAGAAGTTATTTTTACTCAAAAGAAAATAATAAATATTATGCACGGACGGGTTTCAAATTATTCTAAATAGCAAACATATGGAACAATTTTCTTTTCCATAAATCCTCTCAGGATACTTGTAGTCTATCACCTTTAATAAAATGTTTAGCTTCTCTTTAACTATACCATTTTAAATAAACACAAGATTAATAAAGTTTTAGGAAAACTAGAAACAGAAGTTAAAGTGTTCTTGTTTTGAAAAGGATATGGTATTACTTGCAATAAGCTGTTATCAACTGTCTATGTATGGTTTATCTTGCATTTACCAATCTTGATAGTTTTCTACCCAAATAAACTTCAAGTTGAGTATATCCTACATATCTTACCCACTTTAAAAAAAATACTTGTTCTAAATGCATGTCACAGAGACTGAACTAAATTGACTACATTCCTCTCAAATGATCTAATGAAAGAAGCAAGTAGAAGTCCAGTAGCAAAGCCAGAAGGTGATCGATACTGTCATTTTTATCAAATGTCTTGAATTTTATTATGCTGACAGTCTCTTTCAAACTAGAATATAAGTTTCAAAATTAAACCAAACTTTGAGATATAAATAAAAAATGAATGCAATTATTACAAATGTTTCTTCTGTTTTTGGTGTGTTGCACTGGATATTTGCTGAGTGTGTGAAACTTAGTTAAACACAGCTGAATTTCCCACTAGATGGTAATAATGTGGAATAAATGAATTTGTTTCAGTACTTTAATCTCTTGGATCATTTCCAAAGTAAGTGTAAACTTCAGTTTAGCTTATCACATAGAATCTGCCTGTTTTATTAGGGAGACACACTTGCACCTTTTTATTAAAAGTTAAAACAAAATAAAACCACTTGCATGTTTTCCAAAATCAAATCAAACCAAATTGATTGCTGTGAACTCTCTCCCAACCTTAACAGAGTTGTACTACCTCACAATATTTCCACATCTTTAAACCTAGGAGTTTGACTGCAGAGCTCTTGACTTGTGTCTAAGTGCTTTAACTATGTGTTCTCAGTGCTCTTGAATGTTTTTGTTGAGTATGACTCAGAGCAATACTATGAACAAACAGATCTGAACCCTTTCCTATCCTGTGTTATCCTCATCTCTGATACACTTGACCCTATTGCTGTCATGTAAAACAGTTGAAAGTAGAGTGGACTGACCCTAAAGAACAAATAGGATGTGAATTACACAATGAAGAAATGATTATGGTTGAATAAAAACAATTGATCCCAAATGAGGAATATATTCCTTTTTAGTTTCCAAAAGTCAACTACACTTTTCAGTTTTCTCTAAGTTTTCAAAGATCAGCTACAAAGACATTCTTTGGTCAGTCTCACCACCACCTTATCTAAGAGAGAAGTCCTCTTTATGCCACTTCTAGTCACCTGGTTCATATCCACCAGATGATCTTGCAGAAGATAGATAAGCAATTTCCTGCCTTTGAGAAACAGCTGAAGAGTCAACTAGGAAACAATTCTGACTCAATGGCACATACCAATAATAACAAAAATCACGTTATAGATTTATTCATTATTACCAAAAGAGTTGTTTATGCTTGGATAATGACAAAGGGCAAAATCAAGGCTATTTCTGATTTCTATGGTGTCTCTGTCTGGAAGCTACAGTAGTCCTGGGTGGCATGAACAAAGGAGAAAGCCTAATCTCCCCACTGTCAATTCCTAACTAAAGGAAGAACTATTTAGTGGAGCCCTGGTGGTATATTCTAACCAACAGATTTAGCACTTCAAACTCACCAGCTGTTCTGTAGGAGGAAGAGAGCCAGTCTCCTCCCATACAGCTTTGTAGCCTTGGAAACCCAGTAAAGTGTAGTCATGAATTGAAACAGCAGTGGATTTGTAATATGATGATAAATTGAAGCAGCTCATCTCTTTCTGCCTAGAATCATAGGTCTCCATGAAAAGGAGAAGAGGACTAAATTTTGGCAGGTTTAAACTAAGAATGCATCTTTCTATTCTTTTAGTAGCTGAGAAGAGTCAGTGCTTACAAATTTCAGTTTAAATCTCAGTTTTGTCAAATCACTCTAGTTGTGTATTGAGTTAATGTAAGCAGTGTATTATCTGATTAAGAAGAACTTACAGGGAAAAGATTAGGTTTTAATCATTTTATCAGTTGAACACAATTTTCATTCTTATGACAGACATAAAAACAGGGGTCTGTTTTATCTTTATCTATTGAAGCAAATATATATGTATTTCGTGCATCTGAGATATTTAGCCAACACCAGTGATCATTCTTCAGAAACAAGAACACTTTTATTTGGTTCAAAGGCGTACAAGGACATTTGAAATACAAGTTACAACTTTCTTGAGAAGAGTCACAAACACTGAAGAAAGTATTAGACATCAAGGAGACCCAGTTTCCTCTTCCAGGTAAATGCTCATAAAATAAACCCAAACATAAGTTCTCTTTCACCCATTTTAACACTAATTAATTGGCTCCTTCTTTGCAGAAATGTCCATTTTCTGTGATGCCTTCACACTGTTGGAATGACTCTCTTGGTCCAAACTACATAACCTCAACATATGCTGACAGAGGATAAATACAGCAATTCCAAAGCACACTCCACTGTAAATCAGAGATGCCAAACAGCAATTGTTTTGTTACGGGTAAAGGAGTGACTTTATCAATTCCAGAATCCTCAGAGAGCTACATGTGATTATATAGGCAACATGTGAAGGCATATTATTTATACTGTAGACACTAGACACCAGTTCTTTTATTCTAAATTGAGTGTATTTATCATTTATACAGCTATTAATAAAGTTATTTTATTACAAAAATCTGTTGAATTTTAAACTAAAAATAATTGTAAGGCACATGTCTTGCACAATTGAAATTAGACAATTCTCGCCTCGAAGTAAAATATTTGACCAGATTTATAGCACAGATAATGAAATGGTTTCTTATTTCTGAAGAGATCTCCAAAACATTTTCTGACAAAATGCAGAGAAATGGAAAGAAGATGAGCCATTTATAAAAAAAAATACAAAACAGAAAAATTCTGTCCTATGAAATACAGTTGTGAATGTATGGACAGATAACAAAAATGATAAATCTGTATAATCAAAACAAAATGTATTAAAAAATGAAACATCATAAAAATAAATATTAGGGCAGTCCATTTTTATCAAACATTATGCAAAAGTAAAATATTTTGCACATTGTAAATTTTAGTACAATATACATTACACTAACTACATTACAACTTGTGAAAGACGAATGAAATAAAAATAACTGCTTCCAACACATATCTGCCTCAAGTGTTGTCAGCAATGGCAGTTGCATGGTCCATTCCATTGACTTGACGTTGGGTGCATCCTTTAGCAAAATAAGCATGTCTCACTTCTCTTTTAGGACAGCATATTTGGTAAATGAATAATAAACATATAAAAAGTATTTTAATATTTGTCTCAAGGGTGATCTTACAGTACATCTTGCAGATCCATGATTTTTTTTCCAAGCCATTCCAAGCTAATGTTTTGATATCATTCCTCTCACAGATCTAGAACCCCTCTGAAATAAAGTCAATGACTTATACCTCCATGCTGCTTTCCTTTCTGGTGCTTTTAGAAATCCACAACGTGGACTGGTTTGGGCTAGTTTTTGTTCTTCCTTTACTGAAAAAAAAACCAAACAAACAGGCAACTTTAGTATATGAGACTTCTCATAAAACTAGCCATATATTAGTCCCAAAGTAGACATCTCAGATGCTTATATATAAAAGGGACCTCTGCATCTCACCAGCATATTTTCTTTTCATTCCTACAAAAAAAGTCTACATTATTTTTTTTTTGTGTGTATAAAGATGCTAAACAGTTGCTATGAAATTAGGGAAAATTAAATAGCTTTTTCTATTTTACTATTCATCATTTAGACACACATATGCACACATACAAAACTGACCAATAATTTTCTTAAATCACCAGCACATGCTGTGAGCAATGCTTTCAGAAATCTTGCTTTATTAGAATTCTGTCACTAATGTATACTAAATTTAATAGCAAGTCATTCAAATAATAATTTTGTACTAAATGGAGACTCATTTGCATCTATGTTCTGACTCATGGAAATCCCAGAAAACATAAAAGTAGTCTATTTCACAGAATTTCCAATACCTGGTTTTTAGGAATCACAAAGTTTTTAGATCACCACATTTTTCTGATAACTCTGGGGAGACTTGAATGCCAATATTTCTGTTAGCAGAGAATATTAACATTAACACCCAGGGTGTTAAGTATAAAGACCACTGTATTCATCTGCCCCTAGGGGTGGTTTTTTTTCCTTATAGTTGACTTATTTCATCCTTCAATGCTAAATTTCCTCTTAATTGTAGTTTCAGAAGAGAAGTTATTCTTTGATAACTCAGAAGTATGTCAGCTATAGAGCTATATTTGAGATAGATTGCATCCTTGCAAAATTTAGACCTAGATTCCTAGTTTTATCTTGGAGCTCTGCTGTCTTCTAATCTTCCATTCAATGACTACTGCCTAATCTCATGAAGAAGTACTTCTAGATGAGCTTATCTAAACCATCTTCTAATACTGTTAACTACTTGTTAACTTCTAAATTCCTTTTGTCTAGTTTCCCTAAGGATGGCATCTCTCTTGGACCCCGTTTATTTTGTCTTACAATGACTTCTTCTCACCACCTACTAGACATTGCAGAACTCCTTCAAAGAAGTAAAGGGAACTATTCTTGAGCACATCTGACCATTAACACTAAAAAATTATTTTTTTCTACTCATTTTAACTATAATGAAAAATACACTCATGTTAACTAAAATATACTGTTAGACCTGGTGGTATAATCCTTAGGGAGCTGTGTCGTAAAAGTTACATCTGTCTGGAGATTTGAGTTCACCAGCAGCTGAAAAAGAGATGGAAGGGCACTCTCCTGTGCAATTAGCAGCACTGGAAACACAATGGAGGGTTAGCTATGGGCCAGTTTCAACTCAATGAAAATGAAAGAGAGAATAAAACATTATGGTTGAATTTTATGATGTGGTTTGAATCCCTATGAGCAAGTACATCACATCTGTGGTCTGACACCATCCAACAAGAGAAACAAGGTAAGCAAAGTTCAGAAAAAGAGTCAACTTTTAAAGAATGGTGAAAAGAAAGTGATTAGGTTATTAATGTGGATTTTGTGTAGAATTAGTATTTCAGTTAAGGAAACACAAGTTATTATTTTGGACATGACATGAAATGATAGAAATCATCATGTGTACCAGACTGGCATTTAAATTTTCTGCAAGGCACTCAGATGATAATGGAGTTGAGTCTTTGTTGAAGTTTCTCCTTGTTTTCCTGGAAAAAAAGGAAAAGGGCAGGATCTAAGAAAGAATGAAGTAAATACTATGCTAATTCCAGTAGGGAGCTCTGTTGACCTGTAAGTAAGGAGCTGGGCTGTCAACCTAAAGACATGTCCTTTGAATCCATCTTCACCTATGCAAATAATTGTTTCTGAAACTCACCGGAAGGTCAACTGTGAATTAGTTCTGACTGGATGGCAAATAACAACAACTAATTCTGATACTGAGAAATGATCTGTTTTAGTTTCTTTTTTCTGATAATTTCAAATAAGTGAAAATTACACAGATTTTCCAGTTATAAAGGCCAGAAAGACTCCTGACCAGTTAAAAGCTCCACAATAATTCACTGTTCAGAAAAGGAAACTCCCTTTTAAAAAAAGGGGGGAAAAAGCCAACAAAATAAAAACCAAAACCCTCAGTTACTTGGCATGTTGGTTATTTGTATTTTTAAAACATGAACATATAAATTATGTTCTTAAAATTATTTTTCTTTTTCAAGTTAATTTATAATTTATTCCTCAATAGTTTGGCTGAGAGTACATATGCCAATGAGGATTTATAAAAGCCCATGGCACCAGGGATATCATTGCTGATGTCAGATTGATTCTGGATGAAAGTAAATAATACCAGAAGAATGTCTATTTATGCATTATTGACTATTAAAAGGCATTTGACTGTAAAAAAAATCTCAGCTTTTGATAGTTATAATTCACCCTTCTGGAGCTCTAGTGGTAAGAAGCTATGCTGTACTCCCAAAGGCATGCAGTTCAAATCCACCAGTTAGTTGCTCTTTGGGAGAAGAATTGGCAATCTCTTCCAGTGTGATTTGCTGCCTCTGAAAAGCCACTGGAGGTTCAGCTTTGGTTCCAACTTGACAGCACACAGCAACAACAGTCTTGGGAATTAAAATAAGAAACTGATTAATTTTTTTACTACTGTATTTTCTTTTGCCTGAAACAGTTGAAGAAAATATTCATTCAGTACATAAACGGAAAGCCATGAGGCCACAGCTACATTATTATTTTGCAGGATTTATTTGTCATTATTCTAAATGGTTTAATTATTTAGTAAAATATTGTTTGAGTACTTTGAAAGACTTATGTAGATCATTTAGAACTTACATCATCAGTCCACAGACTCTGCTGTTAATTAATGAGTTGTTATAAAGCTTATTTCAGGGAATTAAGGAGATGAAGAAAAGTTAAAAAATAATTGTCTGTTGATCAATTCCTTAAAATAACACTCCTATGAGTTTTTATTAAAACATTCTAACAAAGAGATCTAACTTATTTTTTAAAGCATGCTTTAGTTTAAACTCATAATTATTCTTTTTTCTCTGCTATTTACTTTTATTTTATACTTTTAGTGTTTTTGGACATGTGGATGCTCAGAGAAAGAATATTACCTCTAAAACTCAAGTGTAAAGATAAAAAGATATAAAGGCCTGAATACTCTCCAAAGAAATTTTATCATTAAATTATTTAACTTCAATATACTTGCCCAACCAGTGCTCCACCAGGGATCACTGGTGGCCTCATGGCAAGAAGCTGTGCTGCAATCTCAAAGTCAAATGGTTCAAGTCCATCAACTGCTTCTGGGGAGAAGGATGAGCAATCTCTTCCCTTTTTTGATTAACTGCCTCTGAAAATCCACCGAGGGTAGGCTATAGATCAGTTCTCACTTGATGGTACACAATACAACAACAACAACAACCACACACTTGCCCAAAGGTGATCAATTGTTTCAGCAATGTATTTTTTTTACTACCTAAAAGATCCATTTGAAATAAAATAGAAGCCTATGTCTTGACATTTTCAAAAGGCATTACAACATTCACCAATCAAAATCAAGACTTCCATTAAATCTGAGGTCAAGAACAAAAATTTTAGCATTAATTATTACACATAATAAACAAGTAAACTTGTATAATCTGGTGGCATATATTTCCAGTTTATCAGCAATCAAATTTAAGTCCCATCACATATACTAAATGTGGTGCCAATGGAAAATCATTTAACTATCAACTATATCAACTAAAAAACAAAAGTAGAAAAGTACTTACTTCACATGACTTGTAAGGATCAAATGAGTTAATGTATTATTAATACTAGCAACCTATATATTTTTCAAATGTATATATAATGCTATTCAGACAAATATGAGAATCAGGCATTCATTAAGACAAATTATCATATAGGTAATCTTTATTCCTAAATTTGTTCAGAAAATGTTCTCAAACTGTCTTCACTTATCTCAATATGTATGAAATATTTACCTCTTATGAAGCATCTGGAAACAGCAGGTTCCAAAAGCAACCAGTATCAGTAATAGTAGTGGTATCGTGGGTATAACAACATAAATTAGATTAGGAATTATGCCTGCAAAAGAAAACATCTTTAATGGACAAATATAGGTGAGTCAAGATTCCAGTATCAGTTATCTTCAAAAATTTACAAAAATTATAAGGCAAATAGAATTGTTAACAATGAATAAATTCCCACTAAGTTTCCTTCAAGATGCTGATTAAGAAAATGAAATAACAATATTCAAGTTTTTGGTAAAAAAGTAAACACAAAGAATCCATGCTTCCAAAACTATTATCAAATCTCAAATTCAGTTATGTGCTAGTTTTCATACATATTAATATTATCATTCTTCTTCAATAATTCATTATCACTACTTTGAGAAAAATCACTGATTATTAAAGAATAAAAATCACTAAAGTAATGTTTGCTGTGTTTTTATGAATAAATATCCCAGTCAATGAGTTAATTTTCATAATTATATATGAGAGACTCTGGGATTAAATAAAGATGTGTGTAAATATTACTGATGATAAAGCCATAACCCAGAGATGTAAGATTCCAGAAGGATACAGATTTAATCTTAATTAAGTTTTAAGGACAATTATATTTTAATCCTTTTTAATCATACTCATAATTTTAGGAAATATTGGTAAAATAAAGAACCATTGTCACACAGAATCCATTATAGCTTAAAAGTAATACGATAAACATGTCAATGTCATAAAAGAAAAAAATTCTGGATGTGTTGATTTACTAATATCAAGCATATAACTAAAATCAGTCACTTAAAAGAGTAAAAAATAATAAAGTGTAAAGATATTTTCATTCAAGATAAGAAAATTAAAGAAATGTATAGGTTTCTGGCATATTGAAAATTGGTATAATTATTAATCTATGTAATTTTTGTCAAAATGGACTGGACTAAGATATAATTATCCATTCATTGGCATATTACTTCCTGTGTTAATAGGAAGTAACGTAATAATTAAGGACCAATGGCAGTGTATTTTGGTGATAATGTACTATCCTTCCAACAGGTGACTTCAAATATTTTAAGTATTCAAGAAATATTTTCTTTTTCTTCAAAATCCCATTATAATCTTTCATATAAAAAAAAAAAACAAAGAAAGTATTTTATATGTTTCCCATGGCTTTTGGATACTTATTGGGAGATTTTTAAATTTTGAGTCACAGAGCAGCTGCCTTGAAATTATCCAGCCAAAACATGCACCACCAGGACTTCAATTACAAAGCGACTAGGAAAAATAGGTTTTGTCCAGTTTGCAAACTGGAAAGTGCTCATAACCGATAATGACAGCCATTTCTGATCAATTTACAGGTTGCATTGCAGATGGCATTTATTTTGTTTTACTTTCAGCAGTGTTACACTGAAGGGAGCTCACATTGACTCTTCCCAGCTTGTGTTCATTTTGAAAGCTTAAAATTAGCCAGAGTAGTAGTATATATACTGTCAAGGACTTTCATTCATAGGGTCACTATGAGTCAGTCGCCTATGACTCGACAGCACTTACCAACAACAGTAGTATATATACTAAGGATATGGGCAACTGCTAAAAGTGAGGGCTTTATATTTTATTTCACTCTCTTCAGTGTTTCAATCTTTACTAGCACACCACTGTTTACAGGTCAATGAATGTGCAAATTTATATCCTAATGACTACATATTATTGAGAAAATTACTATAGATAGAGGTTTTCATATAGATTACATGGTTCACTTCTAGATGAATCAATCCCCTTAAGGTAAAAATCTGAAGAAAACAGTACAGGCTCTGTCCAAGAACTAGACTATGATAATGTTCTCTAATCTACTTCTGTAAAAGTGATAGGCATAAGTAAACCATCACAGGCCCAAATTTAGTGCAACAGCTTCCCAAACAGCAGGAAAAATTTCACTGGAGCCAACTTGAAACAAATCCTGAAATACAGTTTCTGTTACTTATGCAAGAGTTAAAGATGTACAAGCTAATTACCTGCTTCCGTAACAACGACATTTTGATGAGTGTCTCCTGGTTGATTTGTAAAATAAGGCTTTTCTACAGAGATTGTGGGGTTAATTTCTGTAAATAAAGTATAAGCATCATATATAAAGATAAACAATATAAATGTAATATTAGACAAAATAAAATGTATTATTAAACAATAAAAACATGTTTTGACTTTTGAAATTTTCCAGTTGGAAAAACATTCTGAGTTGAAATTTATATTAACTTATCTAACAATAAATTTTGATTCGGTGACTGGGGTAATCGGGATGGGTGTGTCAGAGGCAGTGTGGTTGGCAAAGTATAGAGCAGGGTTTAGGGCTGTTGTGCATAGGGACTCTATGAGTCGTAAACGACTCGATGGCACATAACGACAACAAACAACAACAATAAATTAACATTTAATTATATTTACTATAATTCCTATTTAATGAATTATCCACTGCAGCCCAAAGTGGTATATAACAGTTATTAGCATATCTGAGCTGATGGCAACCAACTAACTGCTACAATCAACAATGACAAGAGAAGCATAAAACTATACAAAGAAAAGCAAAGTTGATAAGAATAGAGATGGAAGACACTAAATGTCTTATTCCCATTCCTAAAAAGGGTGATCCAATAGAATGTGAAAAGCATGGAATAATATCATGTACAAGTAAAATCTTGTTGAATATTATTCAGCAATGGCTAGAAGAGTATATGGACAGAGAACTGCCAGAATTCAAGCTGGATTTAGAAGAGATTGTGGCACTAGGGATATCATTGCTGATATTAGATTGATCTTAGCAGGAAGCAGACAGCATCTGTATGTTATTCACTATGCAAATGTATTTGGCTGTGTGGATCATAACAAATTATGTCTGATATTTAGAAGAATTGCAATCTCAAAACACTTAATTGTGGTCATGTGAAATCTATACCTGGACAAATATACCTGGTCGTCAGAATAGAGCAACAGAATAAAGTTTAAAATAAAGAGAGGTATATGTCAGAACTGTATCCTTTCTCCATACTCATTTAAACCTTAAGCTGAATAATTCATTTAAGAAGGCTGACTTTATAAAGAAAAATGTAGCATCAAGTTCAGAGAACGAATCAACAACCTGCACTATGCAGATGATCCATCCTTGCTTGCTGAAAGTAAGGAAGAATTGAAGTATTTACTGCAGAAAATCAAAGACTACAGTACAATACAGATCACCTGTCAACATCAAGAAAATGAAAATTTCTACTATTGGGCTGATAGGCAACATCATGATAGATGGATAAAAAGTTTGTCAATACATTTCTCTTACTTAGATCCACAGTCAATATCTGGGAACCAGCAGCCAGAAAAACAAAAGAAGTATCCTAACCTATGTGCATCAAACCATTTTTCCATTTGTGTGAAAAGAAAACCTCCTGACCAGGAAAAACATTGGGCAATGACATCTCAGACAAAGGTCTTGTAATGAAAGTTTACAGAATACTACAAAGCTATTAACAAACAAACAAAAAACCCACAAAAACAAACTTACCACCCAATAATAAAATGGGCTAAAAACATAGAAAGACTTTTTAAAAAAGAAAATATTTGGATGGCAAACAGACACATGAAAAAATGCTCAAAATCACTGGCAATCAGAAAGATGCAAATAAAAAAAAAAAACAAAAAAACAAAACACACCACACAAAGCCTTATTATCTCAAGCCAATAGTAGTAGCGAAGTTCAAGAGGAAAGCAAGCTATAAATGTTGGAAAGTATGTAGAGATATTGGAATTCTCTTGCACTGATGGTGGAATTGTAGAATGTTGCAGCCACTCTGGAAAACAGTTTAACATTTCTTCAAAAAGCTGAACATTGGAGACGGAGTTAGTTTACTCATCATAATGCCCTCTAGTCCCTCCCGTGTTAGGTAGCAATTTGCAAAATCTTTGCTCCTGCGTGCTGCACAGTATTCCACTGTGTGAATGTATCATAATTTCTCAATTCATTCCACTGTAGTTGGGCATTTGGACTGTTTCCATGGGACCATTATTGTAGAACGATTATGAGGCTGGGGGAAGGGGGGATTTAGGGATGTAATCATAGAGTCACACAATTTGATTGGTGGAGGGAGGGATGGGTAAAGGAAAGGGAAAAGATCCGGTGTGAAAAACAATGTATACTAACTTTACGAACTTTGTATGTAAACCAGTATAAAATAAAATGAAACAAAACTAAAGCTGAACATAAAAATTCTGTATGACCCAGCTATTCCGCTGCTAAAAGTATACCCCAAGGAAATTAGAACTGAGACACAGAGATTTGTAGACCTATGTTCATAGCAGTGTTATTCACAATAATAAGAAAACGGAAACATCCCAAATACCTATCAACTAATGAATGGATTGAAAAACTGTGGTACATGCACACAATGGAATACTATGCAATACTAAGGAAAAACAATCTTGTAAAATACTATATAACATAGGAGCATCTAGAGAGCATTACACTGAGTGAACTAACTCAGCCTCATAAGGTCAAATATTGCATAAGAACATTAGTGTAAAAAATAGAAGAATAACTAGTAAAATGTCTTTAAAAGTTCAAAAGGAGATGGAAGGGTTACATGGGGGTGGATATGGGTAAGAGGGGAAATCCCTAGGATAGTAGAGTTTAGTGGGCAGACGGGAGTGGATGGAAGACATGAAGAATAAGAAATATTGAATGGGGACCTGAAAAGGCAGAGGAATAGTAGGCATAGATCAATGTTGATTAATTTTATAAAACACAATGTATATGAATATATGAAACACAATATGAATGAATAAATGTGTGAATCACAATGCATATGAATTTTATATGCAGATCAATATAACTTTTTAATTTTTTTACATTACTCTGATTTATTTACAAAGTTTTCACAAAAGATCCTTTCCACATCCTTCACCCCACCCACCCATTGAATTGTGCAACCCTATGATTAATATGCTACCCCTCCATCCTCACCCCTCTATTTTCACCCCCCCACTCCCCCACGCCCGCCACATTGGATTCTCATACTCATTCTAATGGTTTTATACAGTATTTGTCCTTGTGTGACTGAGTTAGTTCATTCAGCATAATGCTCTCCAGTCCTTCTCAAGTTAGGAAGTAATTTACAAAATGCTCCTGTGTGCTGCATAGTATTCCATTGTATGAATGTACCACAACTTCGCAATCCATTTGTTTGTGGTTGAACATCTGGGCTATTTGCATATTCTTGCAATAGTGAATAACACTGCTATGAACATTGATGTACAAGTTTCTTCATGAGCCTCAGTACTAATTTTCTTGGGGTATGTTCCAAACAATGAAATAGCTGGATCATTTGCAATTTCTATGTTCAGTTTTTTTAAGAAGCACCAAACTACCTTCCAGTGTGGTTGTAACATTGTGCTATCCCACCAACAATGTAAGAGTTCCTAGCTCACCGCATCTTCTCCAACATTTATTATTCTGTCCTGTTAAACTTTACCACTGCTACTGGAGTGAGATCAAGGTAACATTTTAAAAATGTTAAATTACCCCTCCCCCCCAAAACCTCTTCCAGTCAGTTGGTCCTCCAGATTTCTTGGCACAACCTGCTAAGCAAGTCCAGGACAGCATTTGTTTGTGGAAATATGTCACTTGGTATTCATCAATTCCTGATGATTTATTTTTGCCAATTCCTTTCGAGCTGCTTGAACTTCCACCTTCATCACTATTGTCTCTTAATCACATACTGTTTGATTAAATTTTTCTCTTTTAGCCAATTCTTTTTGATACAGTGAGTCTCTGTACTCCTATCTCCTTTAATGCTTCCTGGATTATTCAATTTTCTGTCCATAGTATCCTTAAGTATTGCAACTTGATAACATTCTTCAATTCTTTCTGCTTAAGGTGAAATGCTGAGGGGGTCATGGCTAGGAGAGACCAGTCCTTGGAGAAGGACATCATGCTTGGAAGGGTAAATGGACAGTGCAAGAGAGAAAGACGCCCGATGAAACGGGTTGACACAATAACTGGGATAATGGGAGTAGATGTGTCTGAGACTGTGAGACTGGCCCAGGATAGGGTAGGGTTCAGAAATGTACACAGAGTTGCTATGAGTTGCAAGCAATTCAATGACACATAACAACAATCCTTCAAAAAGATGCATCACATTGTGAAAATCTGTTGTCAGAGACCTCTCCAAATTGCTAACAAGCAAGAATCTCTACTTAAAGATTAAAGTACACCTGACCCAAGCCACAGTATTTTCTATTATTCCCTATGCATCTGCAAGTTGGGCAACGAATAACAAAGGATGACAGAAGAAGAATTGATGCCTTTTAGTTGTGATGTTGGAAAAGGGTACTAAGTGTCCCATGTACTGCCAGAGGAACAAAGAAGCCTGTTTTGGAGAAAGTGTGATAAGGGTAGTCCTTGAAAGCAAGGATGGTGAAGCTTCTTCTCACATATTTTTTACATGTTGTTAGGAAAAGCCAGTCCTTCGATAAGCATATTATGCTGGAAAGGTGGTATCAGTGTAGGAAATGAAGGTCCTCGACAAGAAAATTGACACATTGACTTTAACAATGGGCTCAAATGTATTGGAGATGGTGAGGATGGCACAGGATTGGGTAGGGTTCAGAACTATTGTTCAGAGTCAGTAGGAGTTATCATTGACTTGAGAGCACATAACAACAACAACAAAAAATGTCCTTCAAGATTTCTTGATGGTTTATCAACTAGTATTATTCTAGTATTTCTATTTCTCCTTTCATTAATTAACATTAATGTGTATGACATTTGTAATTGATTCCAGTAACAATCTTCTGATGCATCTTCCAATCTTACCAGCTTTCCCACGATACATTGTCTTTGAAATTAAAAACAAAGACTTGAGAGTTTCTCCTTTTTCTGGTTTTATGAGATGAAATATTTTCTACTGAATATATTAAAAAATATTGTCAGAAGATTTTTACCATGATCTGATACTTCTCTTCCTCCATCCTCAGGGATCTGTTAAATAGTTTGTATTTAAACTGAGCTAGTAAGAAGGAAATTCACAAATGTGGTTTCATTTGTTTCAAATATTTAATTCTG